AAAGACGAGTCTTCTTGCACTAGGGGGAGGGCGGCTGTATCGCAAACTCCGGGTTCGATAGTGGTTGCAAAGCATCGGCGGTTGCCATAGCCGTAGCGATAGTCGACTGAAATGTGTTATAATTGCCGATGGATCATAGTTGCTTGTGGCATTTTCCGGGCCATGAGCCGGCAGAGGATCCGACAATACACTATTGAACAAAGACAATGCAGCCTTTGCCCTGGCCTGTAATCCCTTCATGGGGTCTAAAAGCTGTCTTGAATCGCGGTCGTGATCTGCGCCTGGAAGTACAACCGGCCGAAGTCCGCTGCTGGACGACCCACTCAGAGGCATCTATGCAGGTCAAGATAAGTCAGCAAACAGTGATGTCGCATGCAACCATGCAACGCACCTCCTTTCTTCGAGAGTCATCCGGAGCCATGTGCGAGGTGGTCGCGTCCATCGGCACGGAAGTATCCCCTGGCGATCCGCTTAAAGTCATCTGCATAGGGTGGGGTAAGTCAGCGAGCAGCGACGTCGCACGCAACCACGCAACGCACCTCCTTGCTTCGAGGGCCATCCGGAGCCGTGTGCGGGATGGTCGCGTCCATCGGCACGGAAGGACCGCCTGGCGATCCGCTCGAAGTCGTCTGCATAGGGCAGGGTAAGTCAGCGAGCGGCGATGTCGCACGCAACCACGCAACGCACCTCCTTGCTTCGAGGGCCATCCGGAGCCGTGCGCGGGATGGTCGCGTCCATCGGCACGGAAGGACCGCCTGGCGATCCGTTCGAAGTCGTCTGTATAGGGCGGGGTAAATCAGCGAGCGGCGACGTCTCACGCAACCACGCAACGCACCTCACTACCTCCTATCACTTCCGGGACATCGCGCGAGTTGCCTTGGAGGTTTTCCTGCGAGTCATCCCGTGCATCGTCTGGAGCCTTCTCCTGCCCCTCATCAACGTCAACCTGATACTCCTGTCAGAATTGAACGAAACTGACGTGGCATAACCAACCTGACAGACGCCTGACATATCCCTGGCAGCACTCGCCGCCTTGGAGGAGCTCACACCGTTCCCAGCCTTTGCGTTTTTACGACGACCACTGCGAGCCTCTTTGGGCGCCTGCTGAGTATCCATTACTTTCTACAAGAGAATCAGCCAGTCGCAAGGACGGGGCCATAGCCAAATTACCTTTCTGGCACCCTTACCACCTTTCCTATTTCCCGCTCGCGAGGCGATTGACGGCGCCGTCTGCAATGACGCAGAAGCAGCCGCCGGGAGAGACTCGGAGGAGACAACGACGGCGGTCTCGGCCGAAGGTACGCCCCCACTAGCGGTTTCAGGAGGGACGGAGACCGCGTCGTTCTTCTACGTAATCTAATGAGCATGTAGAGGTCGACCCCTAAGATGCAGCACACACTGGCTTTCTCAGGCGAGAGGACCGAGCAGGACGCATTTCTTGAAGGGCCGGCCCAAGATCATCGATTTCTTTCGAGGCTCGAGACTGTCGATGCAACACGTCAACGATAGACAATATTGGCAGGTTTTGTACGCACTCCCTGTGTCCTCATTGCAAGTAGGTAACTCCAGTGGTATCGAGCGCTCAAGGGAGGAACGACCAAGGGGCAAAAAACAGCGGATTGACGACAAATTAAACATATCGGCGCCTCCTGAGTTGAGGGTGCAGACATCCAGGCTGTCGCATGGTTGACGCTGTGTGATCCGATGTTCAGATCAGGCACCGACCGTAAACAGGGTACCCAACGTCACAATGTTGAGCCGCATCTTGCAGCGCGAGACACCCGTCATAAACGTTGTGGTGCTATGGCGCGTAAGGCCTGTCCCCCATCCCAGCGTCCATGTCTAACACATCCGGGGCCAACTTGCCGAACGTAAACCGAGCTTGTAACCCTGGGTTTTGCAGTTGTAGCGTATCGCGAGCGCACCTCAGATGCTTTGTGACCGTGACGGCTCGATCGGTTTGGAGAATCAGAGCCGCCGAGCCCCGCTGTTGCATGTTCCTGTGACTCACGCAATCTTCCACCATCCCACTTCGAAACCATCAGACTCAAGCCGATGTCCGATGAAGACAGTGCGGTCACCTTAGCGCGTGTAGGGCATAATGAGCACCAACATCGTCCGTCCCAGCGTCAAATTCTCATGCGTCTTCCGCCCACTCGCTCGATGTTGAGGCACGAATATGCCATTGCTGAACCGGGTTCTGGCAGTTATGCCGCATCGCGAGTGATGCTGAGTCTGATCGGTCAGGACAACCGCAGCTGTCGAGCCCCGCTGTTGCACGTTCCAGTCGGTCAGGCAATCTTCCGCCATCACACTTTGAAACCATCAGTCTCAAGCCGATGTCCGACGAAGATAGCGCCGTCACCTTATCGCGAATAGAGCAGGATGAGTAGCACCATATCGTGCTACTCGTCCATCCCAGCGTCAAATTCTAATGCGTCTTCCGCCCACTCGCTCGATGTAATGCCAGGAATATGCCGTTGCTGAACCGGGTTCTGGTAGTTATGTCGCATTGCGAGTGATGCTGTGTCTGATTGGTTAGGACAACCACAACCGTCGATCCCTTGCTGTTGCATGCTCCTGTCGGTCAAGCAATCTTCCGCTATCGTAATTGCAAATCATCAATCTTAGCCGATATCCGACGAAGAAGACACCATCACCTTGCTGACGCGTAGGGGGACAAGAGCCCCACATCGCGTCCATCCTCCATCCAAGCTCCCATGCCCAACGAAGCTCCTAAGCCCTGCGCATCTCGTGTATACAAACCGTCCGATGGCGCTGACCCTACATTTGGTCCTTGGTACCATGTTGTGAGCCAAGCTGTCGAACTCACCGTGGCAAAAAATCTCCAGGCAATCCTTCCGTTACTTCGTACCAGGGAATGTTACTGACGAGTGCATAAGGTCGGCCGCTTAGTCGCTCTCCTACTGGAGCCAGACGAGAACGAGAATCTGTACGGGTGTCATACTGTCCTTATCCAGCATCTGCTGTTTGCCAAGAGGGAGAAAGACCTTTTCGGTACAATCCCCGCTACATGGCTCTTCTGGGTCATGATGGCCGCAAACATGGAAGTCAATATCATCGTGGGCTGGGTCCGTCTATCATTTGAATTCTATTGCCATTGGATCTCAATAATGGACAGCGAGTCGAATCACAGTTCACGTACTGTGATCGACGCTGGCGCGAAACCCTGGCCGTGGAAGATTTGCCAACGGACGACGCCGAGCTGGCCGATGCCTTAGACATCCTATCGAGGGCGCGGGGCGGCATTGAGAGTGAACGAGATGCGCTGGTACCCGCTCACCCATTCTTCCTGAAATGGGAGAATCGCACGCGTGAGGTTAGTGAGACATGTTCGACGTAGAATATGCTCACTAGTTTGTTGAAACACAGGCGCGCCTACTCCTCAAGCACTTGAAGAATCCGGAGCGTTATCGTGACATCTATAAAGCGAATCGTCTCAGCCTCCATTTTCACGTTAGGAACTTCCATCATCTTACTATCAATAGTAGAATGAGCCCTCAAGATTATCTACTTCGAGTCTTTTGCCACGGAAACTTGCATTCTTCGAAAGCCTCCGCGCTTCGTGATCCGGACCTTGCGGTATACTGTTGTTATAGCCATCGTTCGCGAGTATCCACTGATCCCTCGCCCAGGTCGCCGAGCTAGGACTTCATGACATCCATGTCGGATGGTACGGGCAACGGGCTGATCCCCGGTAGAATAAAGACGGCTGATATCATAGTATTAGTCGAGTTGAAAGATAATGACGGGAAAGCCCACCCTCGTACCTACAGAACATCAGGCTCGTACTTCATGCATATGAACCGTGCCGAGCTAGGATTTCATGACCTCCATGTCGGATGGTACGGACAACGGGCTGATCCCAGGTAGAATAAAGACGGCTGATATAATAGTATTAGTCGAGTTGAAAGACAATGACGGGAAAGCTCACCCTCGTACCTACAGAACATCAGGCTTGTACTTCATGCATATGAACCGTCTCGGTGCTCGGTGCATCTTGCAGCCGTTACGGATCGGTATCAGCGCTGTGTTGATCCTGAGTCGCGTCCACAAGAATACAATGAGGCTAGACGACGAGCGTCGCGCTTGACGCCATCGTTAGCGGAAGCTTTTGCCAACGAGGCGCGATCGTTTCGGCCAAATTTGGATGGTGCGCACCATCACGTGCTTCACATACAGGGAATTGCGGGCATCGTGTGCGATCAATACACAACATCTTCGGGGCCATGTACGATACTTCTAGCTGACGGGAATCACTCTAGCACTCCCAAAAAACCTTGGAGATATCTCGTACGTTGGTTTTCTTACGGGGTCCAACCGCTGTGCGGATCCACGTTATCCGTAATTCCGGAGAATGTTCTGAGCAGCATGAGAGTCTGTTATCCGCCATAGAATGCTATTAGTCTACTTCTGATATATTCTAGGATCTATCCCGATGGTCTATTGTGTGTATATATGCACGAGTGATCCATACGACCCGCGCATTCACTGAACGACCCACGCAGCGGCATCGCGTGTTGGTTCACGTACCGTCTTCGGAACACTCCATCGTAGTTGTACTTGCATAGGACATGCATACAAATGCATTCAAAAAGGCACGGACGGCCGGTAAAAGTTGCCCTGGACGTTTGGAGGACTAAGAACCCACCACTCAGATAATGTCAACGGCAGTATCATTGCTATCATATTCCAGGTTCTTCTATGTTAAGTAAGCTCCAACTCTATATGCCGATGGTTTTGAGGACGTAGAGTGAGCCCTAGATAGTAGTGGGAGTGAAAGCGGGATCATCGAAGTCACAGTAACACGCGCCGGAAGAATATATATTGGCAGCAAATCCCATCGGAGTTGATGGTTTCAAGATCAGAAAGACAACACCTACAAGCCTATATGTGTCCGAAGCAAAAACTCGAAGAGTATGAGGTATTTGAAAAAGGACGTCCGCACAAGGTGTTTCCCCACACAGGATGTCAGAGCAGTGCAATGTGGCTGGTTTTCGAACCTCCTTCCTCATGACTTTGCTTTTGCTGCCGAGGCTCACCTCTTCCTCTCTTGTGTTTATTGCTCTAAGACTATTCAGGTAACTAGGAAGTAGCGTGTACCGTCATATGGGTCATAAATCTCCGCCAATTAATGAGCAGAGCCCGGAACATGCCCGGATGTGTTAGTGTGTCAACGCATGTCTTGGCGACTGAGTGCGATTTGTTCCCTCCTTCTGCGCCAAATTGGAATGTCGGCGAGCTAAGGTCGAAACGATCGTATGGCCTGAAGATCTACTTATTGCATGTGGTGCCGAATTGTATAAATCGGAGCATGTACGTGCGGGTGCCTACTACGCCCTTGGACAACCGCATGAATTTTCTCGACGTTGTCATCCATTCCACCTAACCCGTGCGCGCAAATAGAATACAAGATAATCTATGCAGTCGGCTATGGTGTGCAACAAGATGGAGGGCGGACGCCAGTTTTGAGTAAACCGCCGCATGTGCGAGCAAACGATCGCCGATACATATATGTAGCGGCATGTGTATTCCTGGTGTCACACTTGCGTCAAATACACATGCATGGGTAAAACACGAGATGACATTTGCGACGCGCTACATTATGTGCGACAAGATGGAGGGCTGGCGCCAGATTGAGTAAACCGCCGCATGCGCGAGCGAACGATCCGGCGCCAGGCCAGTTTACCGCTACATGTGCAAGCGAACAGTTACTATGCGCGCCATACATGGCGTTGGTGTCATGCTTACACCAGATACGCATGCATAGGTACGTTACGAAAAGACATTTGTAGCACGTATTGCAGAATGGTAGCATGGATTGTCCATCGCGGCTCCAATAGGAACTCTCAGAGCGACGTCGAAGCTGACTACTGCCAAGGGTGAGCGGCAGAGAGACTCATACACCAAGGGACAACTCACCATGCTCCACCGAGCCCGTGCTGCTTGGTATATACGGCCTGATCTTTGGCAATACGACGTACATCTCTGCGGGTAAAGCCCATCATCACTCACGATTAAAACATCACATTAGCAAAGAAAAGACTCGCCATGCTCGGACGAGCCCGTGTCGAAGGGAGATGTGCAGGAAGTAGATTCGGCATGCTCGGACGAGCCCGTGTCGAGTTATATATGCACCACTGATCTGCGATCACGCGTACCAGACAGCCCGAAACACCGAGCGACGTCGACAATGACGAGTACAAGGATCGGAGTCACTATCTGCAGGTAGGAGACAACTTACCATGCTCCGCCAAGCCCGCCCTGCTGGGTATATATGGCCTGATCTTTGGCAATACAACGTACATATCTGCGGGTAAAGTGCATTATCACTCACAATTAAAACATCACATCAACAAAGAAAAGACTCGCCATGCTCGGATGAGTTCGTGTCAAAGGGATATATGCGCGCTGATCTTCGATCATGCATACGAGACAGCGCGGAATGCCTAGCAACGTCGGCGCTGACGGGTACAAGGATGGGAGTCACTAGCTGCGCGTACGGGCATCATCGAAACTATTTCTACGGCAGAAGGGCATCATTCGTCAAGGCAAAAGGTCGCATACGCAAAAAAAGACTTACTATGCTCGGATGGGCCCGTGTCGAAGGATATATGCACGCTGATCTGCGACCACGCGTACCAGAAAGCCCAGAACAGCGAGCGACGTTGACGGTGATGGGCACAAGTATGTTGCGGATACGCGTCGGCGTGTTGAGGTCGGGTGTTCGAAGACAAACTCGACTAGCGCCGTGGCTTCCTTGCGCACTTGGTGAGCACTGGCGTTAGAACACCATGATGCTGTAAAACTCATATTATATCAGCACTAAAACGAGGTTGCTGTAAAAGCGGCTCACATTTGTTGGCGCATGATACTAGCGACGGCCAATGGCAATGATGGTGTAGTCGTAGTTGAGACGAAAGCACAGAAATCGCGCGCAAAGCTGATAACGGCGTCACGTGTTGGGTAGGCTGAAGATCAACAAGTCAATCTCCCATGCACAGAAATCGCGCGCAAAGCTGATAACGGTGTCACGTGTTGGGTAGGCTGAAGATCAACAAGTCCATAATATCTCCCACGCAGGTTTCTCTCTCTCGACGTCGTTCGACTTCCAGCCGTGCCCTCCAATCAGTGAGTAGATCCTTGCTCTCAGATGCCATATCTCCTTACATACTTTCCTTTCACTTAGTCTATGTTACTTGTCCATAGTCATGCAGATGGTCCTGCCCGCGGTGTCTCCTCCGTTCGGTGTGTTTCTATGATCTATAGCCTCTAATTTGAATGTTGACATTTGAAACGCGCATGAGCAGGCAAACGTCTTGAAGACTAGTCAATGAATCACCGGGAGTGTAAGTCAAACCCACCATCGCCTATCATTTCGGGTGCATCGTGCGTATTCCGTATGCTAAGATGCTAATGGTTTACTGAGTATTGCAGATGCAGGTGTGGTAGTTTGGAGCAAGCCCACCGTGTCCGTCGAGCAAGCCATTCGTGACCGTCGAGCAAGCCATCCGCGTCCGTCGAGGAAGCCGCCTTGCCCGCGTCTGTCGAGCAAACCGTCGAGCAAGCCGCCTGTCCTGCCCACGTCTGTCGAGGAAGCCATCCGCGTCCGTCGAGCAAGCCGTTCGCGTCCGTCGAGCAAGCCTCCTGCCTGCGTCCGTCGAGCAAGCCATCCGCGTCCGTCGAGCAAGCCGCCCGCCCACGTCTGTCGAGCAAACCGTTTGCGTCTGTCGAGCAAGCCACCCGCGTCCGTCGTCCGTCGAGGAAGCCTCCTGCCCGCGTCTGTCGAGGAAGCCATCCGCGTCCGTCGAGCAAGCCACCCGCGTCCGTCAAGGAAGCCTCCGGCCCGCGTCTGTCGAGGAAGCCTCCGGCCCGCGTCTGTCGAGGAAGCCTCCTGCCCGCGTCTGTCGAGGAAGCCATCCGTGTCCGTCGAGCAAGCCATCCGCGTCCGTCGAGCAAGCCGCCCGCCTGCGTCCGTCGAGCAAACCGCCTGCGTCCGTCGAGCAAACCGCCTGCGTCCGTCGAGCAAGCCGCCCGCGTCCGTCGAGCAAGCCATCCGCGTCCGTCGAGCAAGCCGCCCGCCCACGTCTGTCGAGCAAACCGCCTGCGTCTGTCGAGCAAGCCACCCGCGTCCGTCGAGGAAGCCTCCTGCCCGCGTCCGTCGAGCAAGCCGCCACGCGCATCCGTCGGGCACGTCGCATATCACCCCAAGTGCCGTGTAATCCGAGGCAGAACGCACCCATGAGCTTGGTGGGTGTACGCAGACTCCATGATGGCCATCGGCGTCATGCTCCCTCTGTCGGAGCTCGCTGAGGATGTGGGCTGGAGCAGATGCGGCACTCGCTAGACCGGCGGCGAGGACTTGTGGCGAGGCGAGGAGCTCAGCGCGGATCATCTTCCCGAGCGTGTGATCTTGCTTGACAATCTTGATCATGGCCGCGTTTGGGATCTTGGTGTTCTTGAGCGACCGTGAAACAAAATGCCCGCGTCCGTCGGTCATCGCGTCTGTCAGACAGGCTGCCCGCCCCTGCTCACCATCACGCGCGTCCCTGCAGCCATGTAAAGCATGACACCTATCCGAGAGATCTAACCATGATAATCATCCCAATATTGAGTCGCCTGGTGTAGGTTTTCGCTGAAATATATATGTTTTATTGTGTGCTACAATGGCGCGATGCACTGCCCACTCGATACAAAGCGATATACCGAATGCTGGGTGATGGGTTGTGGAAATTTTTACCGGCGCGTTGCACGCTTGCAATACGAGTGTAACGGAGTAATCCGTAGCTTACAGTGTCCCCAGCTGTGGCCGCGTGCCACAGCCACCGTCGACCAGCTAGTTGTGAGCGAACACTTCATAATTATGAAGCTTCCTAGGGCTTTCGTGCGGTCGACTCGTACCGACACGACAGTGAGAAACTTAGACGAAGGACCGTCGATATCCAAAAGAGGAAAGCTTGCCACGTCGAGATCGGACCTTCCACCACCCGTTGCGCAGCTCCCACTTCGTCGTTCTCTGGTGCAAACTGGATACTATCGTGGATCAACCAGCCTTGCGTACGAAGAGCTTTCTCTTGACCTCCTTAACGGTAGCGATACACCCCACCACGACAATTTGGCAGCCTTGCCACCCACGTCCGATACTCCATTACCGACCACCTCGGATGCTGTCCCAAGCTCTCCATTCGCTGCCCGTTCGCCATTCTCAAGCCCAGCAGCGAACCGATTCTCGTCTCCATTGCATTATCCCGGTCTGGATGACGCTGGCCAGGCCACTGATTACCAGGCACAATACACGCGGAAGAAGGCTAATCAATGGCGCCGCTGGCAAACGGAGACCATTCCGGATCTCATAGGACCTTATGAGACGTACATATGGGCCACCTCCCATATGACAGACGACCCACCGTGTCTGCTGGAGTGCAGCTGCAACGAACTGGGAAGAAAATTGAAGGTCTTGGCTGTGTTCTGCCAACGTGAGCCTGCTTTTCATTTTGCTCTACAGTAGGCTCACAGATTGCAACAGGTTTGGAGTCCATCGAACTCTCCATATGTTCATGCAGGTCAGCTGCCCGTCAACTTCTAGCACGCGGCTTATTCCCCTGCGCTCCTCAATCACCATCTCTTGCCTTCGACCTGAACATGCTTGAGCTCGTGGCCATGTTATTTTTGAATACCGCGCCGAACGTAACGGCTTGGGCGGCTACTCTCGAAACGTTCTTGGGTGTCCGGAAATACCACCTGCGTACTAAGGTAAGTTGTCTTGGGCATAATGTTGATTCATGCGTTCGATGATACGTCCCATGGCAGGATTCCTTACGGAGGCGCTTCGGCAATGCGCTCAGCTGGTTCATCTACCTCAGAGACTGCGTGAAAGAGAAAACGTTCACGGCAATAGAAGACGCTCGGAAAGCTATCGTCTCACAGGCAGAACTGCGGCATCTCGACGAAGGGCTCAGAAAGAATGGCAAGTTGAGGGGAGAGTCATGGAGACCGTGTCAACTAATCCCTCGTCGTTCATAGCCGATGCAGAGCTTGCGCCAACAACCACCGAGCTGAACGGCGGGCGTAGCTTGCAGCCAGCATCGACGCCGCAGAATGATGAGAGTCACAAAGAGGCAGGCGAGTCCAGAGGTGGGTGGTCGAGTGCAAGGCAGCTAATCTCCGCGTTGTCGTTCGCAGCCGATGTGCAGGCTACACCAACACGAACGCCCGCCGATCCAAATCACATGCGTAGCTCGCGATCTGCATCGACGCGTCAGGAGGATGAAGGTTTTCAAGAGGAAGGTGAGTTCAGGCTCGGATGAGTCATTGCGAGGTGACTAATCTCAACTTTGTTGTTTGCAGCCGATCCGCAGGCGACGCCAAGGCGAGCACCCGCCAAGCCGGATGGCAGGCAACGCTCGCCTTCAACGTCCTTTAGCTCATACCTTCGCTCTCGATGCTTGCTTTGCTTCGGCCCAAACCCCCAAGCGAGCTTCGACGACATGTGAGTCCCGTGTTGCCTCACTTCGGCGGGTTCTGATCATAGCAATAGGCCCGACGTGATCGTTTGCCTGGACGCCTGCTTCACGCAGAAGCGATGTGCGACGACAGGCAGGGATCCCTCCAGGCGGCATCCTGCTTCAGTGTTTTTGCCCGAGGCCGAGGTTTTGGCTATGGAGAAGGAAGTGGCCGATAAAAGGAAACACCAGTCGGGACGCGCCGCCAAATCTGGTAAGAACGGATCACGTTCAGCTGCGAAAAATGCATCTGAAATACCAGATGGCACAGCGTTACAGTCTCCTCGAAAGCGAAAAGGTCATGCGGCTCCACATGCATCGATTTATGAGGACGAGGACCAAGAGGATCGTTGTGACGGTCCCCTCAAAGTTCCAAACTCGGTGCTCGATGGCTGTGAGGCATCCTTCAAGGCCGCCGATGAGTCGCGGGAGAAGGCGAGCACGAGGTTCTTCGACGATACCGCGCTCATGGCCCTCATGTGCCGCCACGACCGAGTGCTCTGGTTGGCCAACATGACGAGCGCCGGCGAACGTCAACACTACGCCATCGCGCTTCTGGATCGCTTTTTCCGCCATATCCCGGCCTCCACGACTGTCGGGGTGCTATACGATATCGGCTGCCAGCTCCAGCGCAGCTGCTACAAGTGGGACTTGCTCCCCGCATACCGCGACAGGATCACGTTCGGGATTTCAGTGTTCCACGCTTACGGCCACCAATGGCCGTGTCAAGTCGTATATCACCCTCGCAAGTGTCGAGGCTTTGGGCTGTCGGATGGTGAAAGCTGTGAACGGTTTTGGAGCGCAATTGATCATCTAGTCCCAGGACTTCGTGTTAGCGGTGTTCGTAATGCTCTCGTCGTGTGCTGGCCGTAGTTAATTTGGTTTCTCCAGTTCTTCCAACGACTCTACGTCATTGACAGTCAAGTGCATCATCTGGACGCTTGTCAGCGTTGTGCGCTCGGAGATTGGCTCGCGAAAAAGGACTATGCTCGCTGCATGAGGATGATCGCAGCTGAACGCGGGCTCGCGGACTGCAATATTCCTATGGAAACGCTTCGAGCCGAATGGGAAGCTCAACAGGTCGCTCAGACAAAACCCATCGCGAGTTCGTTCCCATGTCTAGTATCGTGTTCGATTGCTCAAACAATGATCGTAGAATTATCGAAGGATGCCGGGACGAAGACTATCGACTCTATCTTGTTGCTGGAAGATCAGCTGCGAATCTTCGAGAAGACTATAACTGAACTCGAGCGGAAGGTCATGGCTGGGCAAGGAGACGCGAATTCGATACCCTACCGAGACGAACTCTACGAGGACCGAAATCGCGCAACGAGAAGGAAGCGTAATCTCGAGAAGGCGTTGGACTTGCGTACTCGGCGAAAGCTTGAAACACTCCGTGGCAGCAAGTACTTGACGCATCGGATGAACGCGTTGGCTCTCAAAACACGAATTCGGGACCGACTGCGGCAACGTAAATTCGAGTTTACGCAAGTGGAACGGTCATTCCGTTCGCATTCGTCGAGTGAGTAGTGAATACAAAGTAATACCAACATTTTTTAACCTAGAACCATCAGCCGCGGACAAGAAGCTCGTTTCGCATACAGAACTCGCCGTTCACAGGCGCGAGCCCGGGATTCAAGCTCTCGCACGAAAATATAACGGACTTTGCTCGGATATGGCGAAGTTCATTCAGAAACGGCAAGCGCCAGCAAGAGCCATTGCGCCCGCGCCAATCGTACTCGAGTCGTTGTGGAGGCTTGATGTAGACGACGATATCTGGCAAGATACCGGCCTTGTTGACGATGACGAAGAGGACGGGATGCCGCCGAGATGGCTCGCGGATGAGAAGGTCAGAGCAGGAATCCGGCATATGCTGGAAGCAGACCGGTGCCGGGAAGAGGCTCGCCGTATATCGAAGGAACGAACGACGATGCAACTTTGGCTACAAGAGGAATGGTCGGCCGTGAATTACGCGCTGAGTCGTTCGGGTGAGCAGTCCTCTATCAACGTTGCAAGAGGTGTCCTTACGACATGATAGTTGAAGACCGCGGCCTGGAGTATCAACTGTCGATTTACCGGGATGAGCTACTAACCCTAGCAGTAACGTGGCGACGAGACGTGGCGACTATCCCTCCGACCGGCAACGTGGGCGAGTCCTGGGGTCCGACGGAGGACGAGATGTCCAATGCGATATGTCGAGAACTATTCCAGTCCTTGTCGCCACAACAACCACCAAGCGCCGCGATGGATGACGACGACGTTGTTGATCCGGATGACTACGTTGATGCGGAAGGGCGTGCCGTCATCTTGGAGGATGACAGGGCCGACATCACGAATTTCGCCGCACTCTGTGAGACGGTGGAAAGTCTGCGTCTCAACGTCGAGGAGATGTCGAACGAACCATGGAGAGACATGACGCCGTCGACTCCAGGGCTTTCCTTTGGATTGCCCAGCTCTAGCAGGTCTTCGCCGCTTCCCGCACTGATTGGTCCATTCACACCGAACTCGTCGCCGGGTGCCGGCCATCGGGGGCTATTCGCACGGTCATCCGTGCACGCCCAGCCTCCAAGTTTGGGATTCACGCCAGGGCTTTCATTAGACAACGATGATAGTCCGGCGACTCCGACTAAGCGAGCCAGACGTCGATGATGTCCCTTTTCTGGATATGTCTTCCGGGATGCATCCCACATAGCCCCTTACTTGGAGACGCCTCGGAAAGGACCGACATCCGTGTTCTGCTCCCTCCTAGCCGACCGACTTCGATGCTATGTATTGGCGGGCTATGCGCATACCTGATTGCCCCACACCGCGATCACGTAGCCGCACCGGACATAGCAGGTATATCCTCCTCAACCATGTCATCATCATCGTCTACCTCCTCTTCCTCCACCGTCGCTTCAACGTCTGCCGTCAAAGCTCCACCGCTCTCAGCTCCCGTCTCGACGTTCTCCTCACCATCACCATTTTCTTCATCCTCCTCCTCTTCCAGCGCTTCCGCCTCAGCTTGGGCCTGCGCCGCACTCGCAGCTTGCGCAATCGCAGCCTCCAACAGGCGGGTTTGCTCCTCCGAAAGACCGTAGGACGATAACGGAGCGGAAGACGTCGCAGCGATACCAGATGCGGAAGGACTGTCAGGGGGAAACGAGAGAGACATGTAGGCGGTTTTATCCTGTACAGCGCCGTTTTCTTGCGCTTGAAAAGGAGCGGGAGTTGTGGTGGTGGTGTTTGATGAACCGATATATATGCTACATAAACTACGGCTCAGTATGGATATAATATGTGGTTTACATGCAAATAAGACCGAATGAAGGGTGCATAAGCTGGGAGTTAGTATGGATATAAGTTTATGTATGAGTAAGACCACATGATAAATTAGGATAAATTAGCGCTGATTGATAACTTAATTTGGAGCGACAAAGTGATATATAAAAATGTTGGACAAGTGCAACCAGGCCGGGATGGCTTAGTGGTTATAGCATGTCCGTTGTTATTCGGAGGTCCCAGGTTTGAGTCCCACTGTCAACACTATTTCATTTGGGATGCAACATATATAATTACATGGTGTTTCGTGGTGTTGTATACGTTGCCGTCCCAAATGGTGTAGTGTTGAAGTGATACACGCTTTTTTTGAAAGATAATTTGGCTCTGCTGGAATAGCCGTGCCAATAGAGGAAATGGAATTCAGTGCTGCTGCAATAGCTCTGCGCAGAATCAAAATCAAATGTGACACTGCTGTAATAGCTCTGCGCATAATTGAAATGGAATTCTGTCAAGAACTGAAGCAAGTACTAGGTCCCACATTGGAGATGTGACATCCGGACCTGGAAGAAAACTGCATGAGTATTCAATGTGTATCAAAGGAGAATATGGTACATAGGTTTGTATTGGAGGTGCGAGAGTTCTGAAGGGAATATATGTCTAAATAAGGAAGAACATGCGTACAGCATGCTTGAAGGTCGGAGTTGAATCTGTGACATATCAAGAACTACCGGGAGGTTGAGTTGCCGGCGAACTGGGCATGTGATAGACTAGCCATGATGTCAGAGCTATAGGTCCAACAGTGGAATGGCAGAGGTGGCTGTCAAGATCGGATAACCAAGGGCTGAAGGGTCTGAGGACCAAAGTCCAAAAGTTATAGAGTGAAAGTAAAAAGTCAGTGAAAGGGATAACACAAGAAGGAAGATGGTATAAGTTTGAGGTGTGTTGGAGGTGTGTCGGAGACGAGTCGGCAGAAGTCGATGAAGTCGGGGAGGTCGAGTACGGATGCGGACCAAGCCAAAGCTCACGTACTAGGGTGCTACGCGCAATGAGTCTCCAGGGAGGAGATCCAAAGCTTAGTCGATATTCAAAGTTGGCGAAGAAATCGGAGAAGTGTCGGCGAAGTGGTGGAGAAGGTCAGCGGTGACAATGCGTGTAGATCAGTCTGGATCAACACATGATAGTGGCCGGTGATCAGCACATGTGGCTGGTATTGGCACATGACAGAGTTGAGGTAGGTCCACTGCAATGTGTGCAGGTACTTCCATGACACCTCCAATCAAAGGCTATGGTATCACCCAGAAGAGGGATCATCTCTGGTAGTGCCAGTAGAAGGCAGCAGCGAGCATGGTAATTCCATGAGATAGTCTATCTATGAATGGTAATCCCAGTGAGGAATGATAAGAGGACTGGAAGCTCCTCGCGTATGACAGGGTTAATGGTAGCTCCATGGTGATATCTATGATATGGTGGTAACACCCGGAGGAGAAATATGGTGCTCCCCCCAAGCATTTAGGACCTACCAGTGTAACAACCAAGCAAGTAGACCATGGAAGCTCCGCCGATGTATTTGGTCCTTCCAAGGTGAGATGATAATATTACTGGGAAGCACCACCCTAGCACACCTCCGATCCCTGACAGTCAATGTGTACAGGCCCTGCTCTGGGTGAGCCAACCAGTGCAGCCTGCCCCGTGTAGGTCAACCAGTCCAGGTTGACCAGCGCAGCCTGCCCTGCAGGGGTCAACCAGCGTACTTGTAATTTTACGACTTTAGGTTCGTCC